CTTATGGCCAAGGCCAGGCCCAAACTAAGCGGGATGACAATAGCAGATGTCAAATCGATACTGTATCAGCAGAAACCATTCAGATCGCTAGGAAAAGGTCGTGTGTTGATGTTTAGACGTATACCTAAAGGAAACAAGAAGGAAAGAAGCCCGGAAAAGGGAGGAAAGATCCTTTCACGCTGCCTGAACGTTGAGGGGACGCCGCCCCCTCGGCTCTCAAGTTGGGAAGCAAACGCCCCCGCTGCCACCTCCCCCCCCCCCCTGTTCCCGGGTCTATGACAATTCACAAGGCGCTATCGATAGTTCGATAGCCCTGGTGGCACTATCGAACGCCGTTTGAATTTTCAAAACCGGTCGTTAACTTTACGAGATCTGAGGGGGGCCGAAACGCCCCCCCCCCCCTCCCTGAACGGGTAGCATTTCGCCAATAGCCCAAGGGGGGCTCGGGTTAATTATAAGGTACTATAGTCTGTTCCATATCAAGCCTGCAGTCGGAGTTTCTTCGGCAGATCGCTCCTCCGCTCAGAATTTGCGTCTTAACCCTCGCCCATGTAGGGGGGGGGGGGTTGGTGCAACCCCCCCCCCCCGAGGTTTTTCTTAGCTACACGCCGAACCGTTTCAGATAGCCTGCTCAAATTTTCAGTACCCTTTGGGGCATCCTTTGCGCAACTTTTGGTAAAAAAATTTTGTCAAGGTCATGTCAGGTCACGGAGTTATGACGTCATAAAGGGAACAACCTCCGGCCAGATTTACGCTAAATTGGAGATTGCTTCACAATGGTATAAATGCCGACTGACCTGACACACTGATGGATTGTTTTAGAATCATAACTGGCTGATTTGACATTGGCACAATGTCCGTTGACCTTTTCAAGGTTACTAAAGGTCAAGGTCAGGTCAGTGACCTCGGTTGACCTGTAATGACTTCTTGCACTTGCATGCCTTTTCGGGGTATTTTGATGCCCTGAATTCGAATTTGCTATCCATTTCAGGCATCGTCAGTTGTTTCTTGTAGTTCATTTTGGGTCAGGGTCAGGTCAGTGACGTCACACGCCTGACGTGACCCAATGCACAAATGACCTTGCAGACTTCCGATGCTCCCAACGCATCATTTTTAGAGTTATGACATCGAAATACACACTAAACGATAGAGAATTGATCAAGGATCACGATAGTGAAGGTTTCAAGTCGATATCTCTTACCGTTTTGCCGCAATCGGCGCGGAAATATGAAAAAGTTAGATTTTTCCGAAAATTTGACCTTTGACCGGTCATAAGTAGGTCAAATGTTGACCTAGGACCAAAAAATATACCACCAATCGCGAGATCTCGTTGAGAGCAATCCGTTGGTCTTTTCCGCTAAGCTCTACGATGCTCCGTTTTCAAACGCCAGGGGGGTCGCACCAACCCCCCCCCCCCCCTGCATGGGCGAAGGTGGCAAAACACCGTTTACGGCTGGCAGGGGGGGTCGATGCGACCCCCCCTAAGGTTTTTCGAAAATAGCGTAAAAACGGCGGCGCGCAGCGCCGCCAAATTTGGCACAGCCTATGGGGCAACCTTTTTACAAATGACCTGAAAATTTCAGGTCCGGGTGACCTTGGGTCAGGTCACCAGGTCAGAAAAACCGGTACAAGGTCATGGTCAAATTTCAATTTTCTTTTTGCACCTGTCCATTGTCCAACTCACAGTTTTCGACTGATTTCCTTCAAACTTTCAGGATGTGCTAAGTTCACCGAGTTGTATAACATATAGTTCGGGTTTTTTGAGGTCACTGACCTGAGGTCAGTTAGAGGTCATTACGTCGTAATGTTAAGCCTATGGGAAAATACTAAATTCGGAAAATACTGGAGATATCCGCTTCGTTCTATCACTTCGTACTTCATCACTTCGTTCACTTCGTATATCACTTCGTTCTATCACTTCGTACTTTGAAACCACAGTACTTAACAGCAGGTCACTTGGTGCTTCTTTGTTCGGTGTACTTATCCATGGGTCAGGTCAAATGAGGTCAACTGAGGTCAAATGACGTTTTTGCCAATAACTTGGCACATAATGACGCTAGAGCTTAAAAATTGGTATCATTGTGTTCCTGGTGATCAGCCGAATCGAATGATATGCGATATGATGCAATTTGGTTAACTTGAACTTAATTTACTAATTTAAGTTTACTTAAAATTTAAGAAAAACTTTAAGTACACTTAAGCAAGCTAAAAAGTATATCATTCGACGCGCCTTGACGTGCTGAGTTCAATGGTGCTTTTCTTTTTGCTCTATCTGATTTAGATCAAAAGTTATAAGCGAAAAACTTTTGACCTGTTTTTAGCGAAATTTTTACATTTATACCCCCAAACCCCCCCCCTAAATATTGACCTAGAGCAACCAAATTTGCACAAGGGCGAGAAATCCAGGGGGCCCACCTACCTACCAAATTTGGTGTTTCTAGGTGCCATAGGAGCCAATCGCGAGGGGGGGTCGCATCGACCCCCCCCCCCTGCCACTGTTATGAAAAATGCCCTGCCAGGGCGAGGGTTAAAATGTAAGAGCTGTATATACAGAAATCACGCACTGCTTTCAGCACGGCACTTCGGCTGCAAGCTTGAAACGGAACAGAGTATAGTTAATTACCAGTATAACGCCTTTTGGGGCGACTAACGGAGCGAGCGAGAGGGTGGGCCTTGCACGTGCGAAATTGCGAGGGGTACCTCCAACTGACTTGTGCACGGCACCCTACTAACTGGTCTCTAGCGATGTGCCAAATTTGGGCATAATCGGCCCAGCCGTTCTCGAGATCTGGAAGCGGCACCCTGCACGTGCGCACGTGCAAAATGGGTCCCAACTGACTTGTGCACGGCACCCTACTAACCGGTCCCTAACCGTGTACCAAATTTGAGCGCAATCGGTCCAGCCGTTCTCGAGATCTGGAAACGACCCCTGCACGTGCGCACGTGCAGCAGCACCCCAACTCTGGCACATGTATATGCAGTGCCTAGTGGGTGCCTACCTACATGCCAACTTTCAGCGCAATCGGCCAAGTAGTTACCGAGATATTGCAACAATTACAAAAGTGACACCTCTTCGTTTTGCACGTGGCACGTGCATAAGGGGTCACCCACATGCATCGGGAAGAGTCCAATACTTGGTAGAAGGAATGAAGCTACCCTACAAAAATTACCGCGTGTAAATCGGTCAAGTGGTTGCTGAGATATAAGCCTCGCAAAAGCGTGACCACGGCCGGCCGGCCGGCCGGCCGGCCGCTCATACTCAGAAATTTCCGTTAATCTAAGGAAAGACTACGCTCGCTTCGCTCGCTCCGTAACAAATAACAAGCATTATATTACTGTGTTCTTGTTTTGGTTAAGTTATCAGTAGCTTATTAGAAATGAGCACCCTTTTAGCATGTTTAAATCAAATATGTACCGTACTTTGGGTCGTTGCTATGGCAACTTATCCTGTCTTACTCAAAACAAAGTAATTATTACAAACTTCATATATCTATTGAACATCCCTTTTAACATTGAAAAAATATTATTCAATAACATTCCTAAGGTATTAAAATAATTATTTAAGTTATATTCATTTACCTAAATAATATAAATTTGACCAGCAACTCCATGGAACTCCCCTTGAGGTAGGGTAGGTCTAGGTATACTACATAAAGTCAAGCAGGTGCCGTCCTCCGTTGACTCTGTATATCGCGGATTTTTTATCCGAGATATACAGATCTAAGGTCAGGTATTTTGCGACCTCTCCATTATATATTTTGCGTCAATGGGTGAAAATTGGGAAAAGCCTCTTTTGGACGAACGTCATTATAAACCCTCTCAAACATCGGTTCATGACAAAACATGACACACTGAATCGGAAAATTGCACCTCTGGCCCCTAAGTGTGCCCCAGGGGTCATATCAGGTCATGAAAGGTCACCAGCAGTTTTTTTTTTTACTGTAACTTTTGAAAGAGACGTGCTGGAGCGGTGAAAACACGTCAGATGTGTTCCGCTCGACGATACAAATCGACTGATATGCAACATGACCCTTTCCGGTCAAATTTGGGCCAAATTTCAGGTCCTAGATTGTTGGTTGACCTTCCAGGTTAGGTCACTGCGTAATGTGAGAGTTATGTTTTTCGGAGTGCTGATCAGGTATTCCACGTAATTTTTATCACAGATGATGTCTTCACGCATTTAGGCCAGGTCGGGTCAGGTCAAGTCAGGTCACCCAGTAGGGGTCCAGACGGGTATTTATAGTAGGCGTCATTGTCAACAACCACTGACAGCTTCGCAACATGTTATGAAGGCACCAAAACTACCTCTTAAATGTTCAAATGGTTGCTAAATTCGAAAACAGCTAAAAAAAATCATTAAAACATGTAGGACTCGAAAAAGAGAACCAAAGTCATCAAAAACCAATGTGAATGACCTGACCTGACCTTCGCGTGACCTTGACACCGACCGTAGGTAATGCATAGGAACATCATTTCACATATTTGAACGTTTAAAACCACAAAAAGAATGCAAAGCGCGGATAATGTGAGCCGACAGACACCGAATCGCGATTCCAGCCAAACATGGTTTTGAGAAATTGGTCACAGGTCAAAGGTCATTTGGGTCTGGGTCATGAAACTTTAAAGTAAGTTTCGCAATTCGAAACACAGGATCTGCGCAATTAAGTTTGAGAGCCTCTGGATCGGCTCGGCGCGCCTGCGCTGCGCCGTTGACCCGGCCAAGTACGTGAGTGACGTCACGCTATAAGCGTAATCCCCCGACCATTCACCAAGCAAAGCCTAGAATGCTGGGTAATTCCACACTTCGTTAGCTCGCGGCTCGTCTCGGGTTACGTGTCAAGAGATGCCATGTCAATTCTAATGAAACAGAGCCTAATTGGTAAGTTTGTCGTTTACCTTTTGATTCAATTGAGGATTTAGTTAACTGAAACATGTGAATACCGTTTTTCTCGGTACAACTATGCAAATACGATGAGAATGATGTTACTGATGTTACGTACCTGTATTTGTGCTTTTATTTTTATGTCTCTTGTGACAACATCCTGAGTGATGTTCTCAAGTGACAGGCCATCAGCGCCATCCTTCAATCTTGCTCCCTTAAGCATTATCAGATGTAAAAAGTAATGCCCGACGACTCCTGAAAGAAAATGTGGAAAAATGGTAAAAACAATAATATCTCTGGGATAGTAATATCTAACATGGCAAGATTTCACACCTAAAAGCAAATATCAAGAAGAAATTAGGTGGCAATAAGTGAATAATTGGACAATAAACTACATACATCGTCAATTCTAAGTTAACCGGATGGAAAAAAATACATATTATTTTTAGCCTCGGACCACTAGCGTCGCCATGGGGAGGGGCAAGAGAGGCAGCTTGTCCCCCCCCCCCCCAACCTCAGACCGGGCACCGCCTGAGATCATTACAGATCCGATAAGATTTTGGGGTCGGCAAAAAATGAGAGTAGTTTTCTGAGAATGGCTGTGGGGTCGGACAAGGCCGGAGTCCGCAGTTTTAGCTAGAGTCTGAGTCGGAATCGCCAAAATCTTCAAGACTCCGACTCCTGACTCGGAAATGTCAATGTTTTGATTCAAGCTGGTTTTTACTAACCCGCGACCCGCTGAGGGTCCTCGATTTCCACGCCCTGCTGGGGGTGTTTGAACACCCCCCTTTAACTCGGCTCCTGGGCCACGAATACCGATACGCCGAAGGCAACGTTCGAAAAAGCGTCAAAAATTATGACGAAATAGATTTGGCCACTTTTTTGGTCAGGTCAAAGGTCAGGTCACCCGAGGTCATTGAGCCTAAAATTTCACCGATTTTCAGGTTGAATGACAATTTTAAAGAAGCCGACGCATAACTCGGGAACCATAGAGCTACAGCGAGCTGCAGAGCTAGAGCTGCAGTTAATTATCGAAACTCTCACGCGAGTTTTAGCAGCTTCAGCGTCTGGCCAATAGTTTCTTACCTTTAACCCTATTATAGTTCGTTTTTTTTTAAGTTTGCCCCTCACTGTAAACGGCTCTTTGAACAAAGCACGAGAAATGCTAGCTGAATTACTGAGAAAACTGGTTAGCGCACATTGTATTGTAGATATGAATAATATTTTCAAAATAAGTTTTGAACACCGACGATTTAACGTTATGTTAAGCGCCGTGCAATTTATCTATTAGTTCAGACTTAATTCCTGAGAAGTCGTCTATCCCTGTGGGGCTGTAGGTATTGGCAAATACGAGCTACGAGTCTGTGGAATAGTAGGTAAACAAATTTGATGAAATTGATCGTCTATGAAATCTGGGCAAATCAATGTGCACCAACCAGTTTTCTCAGTAATTTAGCTAGCAATTCTCGTGCTGTGTTGAAAAAGACGTATACAGTGAGGGGTAAATTAAAAAAAACGAACTATACTTTGTGGGGGGAGGGGGCGGATCGGCCCCACCTGTAGTTCTTTTGCTCTCGACGGAAAACGACTAAAGCTAGGGGCTCGGCCGCTCGAAATTTGGTGACTTTTCCTTGCCATTCATTGGGCACATTGTGTCAAATTTTTGAGTTTCTAACTTGCACAGAGGCGTCTCCAGGACGAGTCTCTCGAGGGTAATTTTGCCCAGCTTTAACTGTTTCGACATTTGCCGCTAAGCAGCGACTTACTTAGGTTTGCACTGGTGATCAGTGGCACCACCCGTCATATGTATGCATCTAGACTATGTGATGTGACGTCATTTTACAATGAAAATATTGGAATAGGCGGATCCAGGTAGGGTACACCCGGGCAAGTCACCCCGCCGAGGTAAAACGCCTCACCGAAATTTCTTGGAACTGGCAAGGTTCTGGGAAAACATCCTCTCTTCTATAAATCGTACACTATATGATCATTATACCGAGCAATATAGTGTACGTTAGCAATATAGTGTATAGCAATATAGTGTTTCGCTAGTGTACGTTAGTATACGAGGGGCGTTCAATAAGTTCTCGGCCCGACCATGAAGGAGCAGAGATACGATGTCGACTTATTAGACCAAAAATGTTCATTTAGTCAAATAACCAGCGTTAAGACAAAAATGTTTCGCGCAGCGCTTCGCGAGAGGCCCCTGGGTCTCCATAGCCAAATGGGTTTTGGACTCATCTGGCACGTCGAAGACGGCTGCTTTTGTCTCCTTGCTGTCAGCGAAGTTGCCACTGCTAAGCAATTTCCTTATGTTGGGGAAGAGGTGGCAACCTGAGGGTGCAAGGTACGGAGAAAAAAGTGGCTGTGACAACAACTCGAAGCCACAGCTCACTGCTTCGCTGATCGTCACCCTGCTCATGTGTGCTGGTGCGTGGCCCTGGATCAGGCGCACACTTTTAGTCAGCTTCCCTAGTCTCTCCTTGATATCTGCTGCTCGCTACTGTTATCAAAGGGAGGTGTAGCATTCATCATTAATTGTGCGCCCCTGTTTTAGAAAGTTGACGAGCAGAGCCCCGCCATCATCCAAAAATGCAACCACTGTCACCTTGCCGTCTGACTTAAACACGTCGCACACATTTGGTGGCCCTTACTCAGTGTGCTTCCACTTGTGCAACTCGGTCACGCCCTGAGGGTCAATGTGTGACACCCACAATCTCTCCACGGTAACAAGTAGTTCAATGAACTCTTTTGGATCTTCGATATAGGGGCCAAAATTTTCGCGTTACGCCTCCTTTCGAGTTTGCCTTCCCTCTGGAGTCAGCAAACGGGGGATGCATCTTGCAGAGATCTTAAACATATTAATACGCTGTCGAAGAATGGCTTTGAGGAACCTGATAGACAACTCCGCTTCTGCTGCGTTGTTTCAGACCATAACATTTGTCATTTTTCACAAAGAAGTGCTTATTTTTCATATTTTCTTGAGTCAATGCTGTTGATGGCTGGCCACTGCGGGGTGACCATTAATAATCTGTTGACCAAAATTGAGCAGAGATGCCCAGTCAACACATTAAGATAACAATATGTTTCGTCCGACGTCCATTTAAACAAGAAATAGCAATCGAATTTTAACCGTCAAACGGTGTTGGCCGCCTCAGGCCGACGGCGAGTCATATGGCTGGTGTTAGCGCTACGGTACGCATTGTGTTCAGTATGGAGACTTCAACGCCGGGCGCCACGGGAAATGTCAAAATTGATTGGGCCCGCGCCGCCTGAATTTTCGGTGCATCGAAAAAAGAACAGTGCCAATGGGATTCAATGAACCCAGGGACAAGGAATATCCGCGGAAGCGTTTGATCTGAGACAAAAATATTAGATATGACACACCCTAAATTGCCCACTTTTTGACGCTACTGTAAGAAAGACAAACCTCAACATGTGTTGGCACTAGCTTTTCGTGAATAGCGTTTGGTGCATTTTTCTGCAATACATGAACCAAATCACTATTCTCTTCTGGGCGTCGCCCATTCTGACCGGGAATAGCAAACTATGCTACGATTAATTAGCAGCCTGAACCAATCACAGGGCAGATTGGTTAATGGCTACGTAAGTGGACATCCCAATAACACATCATTGAACACACCGCGTTGCAGACCGAAATTCCAACTCCTTCATGGTTGGGCCGAGAACTTTTTGAACGCCCCTCGTAATGATCATAAAGTGTACGTTGGTATCATAAAGTATAGTGTACCTGTGTTATTCAGTGGCGGATCCAGGGGGGCAAAATGGGCATTTGCCCCCCCCCCCCCCAACGGCATAATTTTAACATTACGCCTATGGACGATGCATGGAAAGAATCGATAAATTGTTACGGTTGCCCCCCCCCCAAAAAAAACTCTGAGCTGGATCCGCCTCTGGTGTTATTGATATCCACAGAGTTCCCAGCTCTCATCGTTTTCACTCAGTTTTGTGAGCGAAGAAAATGAGCCTACCGCGCGTGCTCTCTGCTCGGCGCCGGCCGCGCCCAGGCTACGGCAGAGATGCACGCGCTGACTCCGCACCCCTGGTCCGATTGCGCCCATCTTTCGATACGATGGTCCGCCCCACCCAAAGTTTGTGGTTACCAAATTTCACGTCGATACGCGGCGCCGTTCCGGCGCATTGACCCTATTCCGGGCGGTTGGGGGGGCCTTAAAGGCCCCCCCGCCCGGAATAGGGTTAAGACTCATAAGGCTGACGGACACGTAGACAACTTATTACGAGCGAGCGAGCGCAGCGAGCGAAGCGAAGTCTTTTTACGAGCGAGCGAGCGAAGCGAGTCTTTTCAATATAACGGAAAAAATATCAGTATGAGCGGCCCGGCCCGGCCCGGCCCGGCCCGGCCTGTAACGTTTTTGAGAGGCTTATATCTCAGCAACCGCTGGACCGATTGGCTTGTGGTCTTTTTTGCTGGGTAGCCCCATCCCTTCTACCCCGTAATTGACTACTTTCGATACACCTCAGTGACCGTCGTGGCACGTGCCACGTGAAAAGTCAGGGGTGTTCAAGCTGTTTTGCAAAAGTACTGATTTTGAGAGGCTCATATCTCAGCAGCCGCTTGGGCGATTGACTTGCGGTAATTTTTGTAGGGTAGCAGCATCCCTTCTACCAAAAATAGGATACTCTCGATGCATGTGGGTCACCCCCAGTGCACGTGCAAAATACAACAAGAGGTGTCAAATTTGTTCCCATTTTAATAACTCGGCAATTACTGGGGCGATTTCGCTGAAACTTGGCATACAGGTAGGCACCCACCAGGCAATGCATTCCCATAAGTTGCGGTTAAGGTGATACTGCACGTGCGCACGTGCAAGGGGCGCTTCCAGATCTCGAGAACGGCTGGGCCGATTGCGCTCAAATTTGGTACACGGTTGTGGACCAGTTAGTAGGGTGCCGTGCAAAAGTCAGTTTGGACCCCGTTTGCACGTGCGCACGTGCAGAATGCCGCTTCCAGATCTCAGGAACGGCTGGGCCGAGTGCGTTCAAATTTGGTACACCGCTAGCGACCGGTTAGAAGGGTGCTTTGCGCAAGCCCGTTGGAAGTGCCCTCTCGCCCTTCCGCACGTGCAGGGCTCACTATCTCGCTCGCTCGTTCTTCGCCCAAAAGGCGTTTTACTGGTTACGAGCGAGCGAGCGCAGCGAGCGAAGCGAGTCTTTTCAATATAAGGGGAAAATCTCAGTATGAGCGGCCCGGCCCGGCCCGGCCCGGCCTGTAG